TTTCAAAGGCAATAATGTGTAATTGTTACTGGATTACCAGCATCAAATATAATGTAAAATTATTCTGTAATATGGGCCATGTCCTTATATACTGAAATAAAACTGCCTGTCTGTCTGTCTCTGCCTTCCCTCTGCCTCCCCTGTGCCTTGTCTGTACCATCATATGCAAATAACGACGTCCGTTCAGCATTGCTTCTGCGTTCTCGCCGACCGTTATGCCTTCCTTGTGCATTCATTGGCGTTCGCTCTGCCTTCTCTCTGCGTTCTGTGGCGACTGTTCGGCAACCTGCATACTCTAGGTATATTAGTACTTGGCTACGACATTTTATCATTAGTTTCATATGAGCAGGCTAAGTGAAATCATCGTATAATGACTTCAGTAAGCGTAAACAATGAACTGCGTTTGCAAATAGCTTCTTTGCAAGGTCAACAAGCATTGTTTTTCAACCAGATAGCCATTGCCATCTTAAATAGAAGGATGAATAGACGTAGAAGAAGAAGAAGATTGAGAACCCTGTGGGTCCGCCCATGGTTGATGCAACACAGACGGTTGCAATGCGGGGACTACAACCAACTAATGCAAGAACTGCATCTAGAAGATGAAGGGTCAATCTACAATTATCTGAGAATGGAGCCAGCGCTTTTTAACGAACTCCTCCAACCGGTTGGCCCAAGAATCGCCAAACAGAACACGAATTGGTGAGCAAGTTTCGAGCCTGGTTTGAAACTTGCCGTAACCCTCAGGTTCCTTGCAACTGGGGACAAATACCCAAGCCTCCAGTACCAGTATCGTATGTCACGCAGCACGATCTCCATTTTTTGTGCCTGAAGTTTGCAGAGCTATCAGAGATGAATATAAGAATGAAGTTGTCAAATGCCAGAGGAACTCCCAAGAGTGGAAAGCTGTTGCAGATGACCCTCAGAGACTTACCTCGTGCACGTGGAGCCATTGATGGGAAACATATAGCCGTGCGTTGTCCACCAAACACAGGTAGTTTCTATCACAACTATAAGGGAGTTTTCTCTCTTGTCCTTGCATTAGTGGATGCAAATAATAATTTTTTATGGTGTGATGTGGGTGGTGTTGGAACAATGTCAGACAGCCAGATTTTCAATGAATCTGAACTGAAGACGTACCTCGAAGATGGCACAATAAAGTTTCCAACTCCTGAGTCATTGCCGAATGATGACCGTGACATACCATTCTTCCCACTTGGGGATGATGCATTTGCCCTCAGAACCTACATGATGAAGCCATATTCAACCAGGGCACTCACCAACGAGCAACGTATCTTCAACTATCCTATCTTTTGTGGAAGAAGAGTAGTTGAAAATGCGTTTGTCATTTTGCTTAGCGATTTCAACTTTCAACGATGCAGCTGATGCCTAATTCAGTCCAGGATGTGATTGAAGCAAACATTTGTCTTCACAATACAGTACGAGACCAATATGCAACGCTACAGAATGCTTGACACTGAAGACGATAACCACGACCTCATACCTGGAGAATGGAGACAACAAGCAAATATACATGATGTTGCACACCTAGTCGGACCAACCGAGACACATGAGCAGGAAAACAGTTGCAAGAGTATCTGAAGTTGCACTTCAACAATACAGCTGGATCAGTTCCATGGCAAGACTGTATGATTTGAAGTGTTGTGTATGGAACTGAATTGATGGATGATGTTCATATTGCTATCATTACTCAACATTAGTCTTATGAATTCATTATGGATATCTGGATTTCTAAATAAAGTATCAATATTGTTTGTCTTCAATTTTGTTCATATCTCAAAAAAAATTGTCAGCAGTAACATTTTCCTGATGGCCAATGTTTTCGGTAATTCTTTTGGGTTTTGGCCTTTCGTCTAGTGGTATATCTTCTTGGAGGCATGGTGAGATGTCTAATGACAAGCTCGGCAGTTCTCAAATACCGTGGAGATCGGCAGTACAAGACCTATTTATATATAATCTGGAAAGGGAAGCGCTAGTCGCTGAATGAAGGCAGAGTGAATGCTCAACGAACGTCAATGGAAGCTCGACGGACGCACAATGAAGGCAGAGAGAAGGCAGGGGCAACGCCGCAGTTTACGAAGTTTTATGTGGCGTCCTTTCGCCGACCGTTGTGCCTTCACTCTGCGACCTCGGCGATGGCTCTGCCTTCCATCTGTGTCCTGTTGTCAATTCACCATGACGGCGACCGCTCTGCGTTTGTTTTGAGCATGTTCAATACAGTCGCCATTACAGTGGCGTTCTGAGCCGTTCTTGGCGTTGGCTCTGCCTACTTTCTGCCTTCATGGTGATGGCTCTGCCTTCTCTCTGCGTTCTTCGTTCCTCCTTTGAGCGTTCAATGGCGTTCCGAACATATTTAGAATGCAGAGAGAAGACAGAGCGGTCGCCGTCCTCTGTAAAGGGGGTTTAACCGAACAAGCGGCTATTACCTAACATAATTCCATTTCCGTATGTTTTTTTCAACTTGCTGGTCGTGACAGCTTTTTCTGAGTGTGTAGCTTCAGAGCTTCTTGAGTACCTTCCATCAGACTGTCGTTTAACATAAAAAATATAAATCGAAACAAGAAGAAAAGAAATAAAATTAAATAAATTACTCAAATTTCAGTTACGTAAGTCAATGTTAGCTGATACTAAAAGTGCCACAAAAGGCCAAATGCTTATTGGTGTTAGATAATCGTGTTTGCTTGGTCCTATAGGACCATTGATATGATATTTTAAAACAACAGCAGTAGTTTTCATGATAAATTACCTCTTCAACCTAAAAAAGAACGTACATAAAAGTCAGTTGATACTATTGATCAAGTAATAAATCCTGGGCCCTGTTCCACAAACGATCGTAGCGCTAAGTTGAGCGTAACTCCCATATACATTAACATAAATTGACGACTGTCGTAGCGCTACGATCGCTTTGAGGAACGGGACCCAGCAGATCTGCAATTTGTGCAGAACACTGGCGATATGAGGAAATTGTTGCAATTTAGTTATCTTTTAAACCCAAATAAACGAATCGTAAAAACACTATCGATCAATAGATAAATGTTAAGATATTTGCACTAATGTAAGTGTTTATTTTTTTTTAAACTTGACAAATTTTGTCTTCAACCGAATGACGAGAGGTTGATCGAAGTATCGCCTGTAATGTAATAGTAAATCGTGAAATATATTTATCAGATATTCATATGCAAGAAACGTATCTCTCTTTTTTTCAATGAAATTGTTATTTTTATTTCACAAGATACTGAGTCATGTTTGCTGCTTTTTATACAGGAATAGTACTCGATTATCAGGGTTATCCTGAACAGACTTTAAGTGACCAGTCAAATAACAGTTGTGACTAATGTTACCATAGCTTATTCTGAATTTGGGGACGTATTTTGTGTCAGTTACATCCTTGTTAGAATTTCAATTTGACGTCAATTCGTTCTTTACAAATACTATCGATCAAGGGACTCTTTTCTCTTTCCTCGTTCCTGTTACTGAACTTTTCATAATTTGTCAATTTTAGTAACAGGAACGAGGAAAGTGTTTATCAACCTTCTGTACACGATTGGAAACAAACGATAATGCGTGAAGGCAATGCCATTTCGATCTCATACATTTATATAACACACCTTTTGTTCGGAATAGCCCGACATGGCTATTCGGAATAGCCTGACATGGCTATTCGGAATAGCCTGACAAGGGTGTTGAGACGAGTCGACAAAAGTTAAAAACAATTATGAAAATTTGATGATGTCAAATATCTATTGTTGTTGTTTATTCGAACAATCAATTCTGAAACATTGTCGATGAACCGTGAATCACTGAGAATATTTTGGAAAACAAGAACTTTCAGCCATATTGCAGAGTGTTTATAAAAACACGTCACACCTGTGCCGGTTATGTTTCGCCCATTACATCCCAACTACAAATCAATATCAGCTTCTTTATACGAATCCCTGAATTCCTCATACAGTTCACAATTGAATGACAAATGGTCTTTGTCACCAATACTAAGTGTCTCAGTGAAATCTAGCGAAATATACCAGAAGAGTAAACGAATGCCGCGCTGGGAAAGGACCACATGTTTGGAATGTAAAAAAAGCCCAGATTTTACACTGTATTATTTTCTCATACTGTGAGAGATCCGTTCGTCTACTTGTATACACGGTACGTAAGTCCCAAAACATTCGAAGTAAATAAAACGTTCCACTTTTTAATCGTAGAATACGTGCTAAATTGATAACGGATGAAGGGGTGGTGTAAATCCAGCTAGGGTCCATGCAGGAAGCAAATTTGCTGTAAGTCCCCATGGTCCCTAGTATGGTGATCTACCTTCCGTTGTTAGATATTTTTTTTCCTTATCCTGACTCATGCTCTTTTGCTTGTCTTCTTCTTCTTGCGAACATAGTGGAAACACTTGTATCTCCTAATTGAAGCTCCCTTCAATGTATAATCACTAATTAATACTCACCATGACTTGCCTCCCTTTGTCCCAGCGCGGGAAAGGTGGCGCCACCCTCTGGCCACATGCTTCACTCTCTCCTTCTTCGCCCAGTGAGCAGGATGTGAGAGCACCTGTGTCTCCTTGCACACTATATCCTTTGATTATTCTTAGTTTATTACCTCTTATTCCTTACTAAAGAGGTGTAGCTAGTATCCTTTAACAATATGTATTGATTATTACTCGTAATTCTACTGTTTATTCACGGTTTTCCGTGATTGTTCAGCCTAGTTTACGTGGATGAAAATCTGTACTGTTTGTAGATTACGTTTTTCTGCTGCTGATCCGCATTTAATATGTCCTAGCTGTACTACGCCTTGTGCGTTTACTTCACGTTGCAGTTATTGTATTAATTTATCCATTTCTGCATTTAACAAATATCGTTTTTGCGTCTTGAGACGTGCAGCAGATAGGTCACGTAAACAAGCCTTAGGCATGGCCGATACATCGGACCCTCTAGCCAGTCAACTGCTGTCGGACGACCCCCTCCCGTCTGGTGTTCCGCTAGAGATTCCTTTGGAGGAGGGGCGTGGGATGCAGTCCGCCGCCTCCAAGAAGCGTCCTGCTTCCCCAGACATCCCGTCTTCGCAGCAGAAGTCTAAGAGGGCATCGACTTCGTCACAGCGTAAACTCCGTACCCCCAGGGCAGCGCCGACCTCCAAGGGAAAAGCTAAGAAGCCAGCTAGAACGTTCTCAGCCGAGATTCTTCCCGCCGCTGAACTGGGCCTGTATGACGACCAGCCGATCATCATACCCGATCTACGCCACAAGAAGCGACCGGTGTCAGCTACAGTAACGTCAGCAGAGATCGCCAGGCAGCCTGATGTCTCTACACTGATGTCCGACGATCATTCTGAGGGGCCCGTCGCTAACATCGCAGAGAGGGCATCGACGACATCGTCGCAGACCATCCCAGACGACATGATGCAGAAGATCATGCAGATGATGGAGGACCGTTACAGACTGCAACCAGCCCAGAAGGACCTCCACGAAGGCACCAACGCAGACGACTGCCCAGAGGGACACTCCGTCAACGTAGCGGCCACGACCAAGCCACCTTCACGAAGGAAGTCACAGTCTACCTCCAGGAAGGACCCAGATGAACAGCCTGCACGAAGGGTTAGAAGATCATCACCTTCCCCGGACTCGGAGGATCATCACTCTTATAAAGATTCCAGAAGGAAGACTACGTCGTCCTTGGACTCAGACTCGGACCCCCCGACTTCACGAAAGCCTTCGCGAAGGTCAAGCCGTCACTCCTCAGAACCGGACACAGTTAAGGCTTCACGAAGGGCTTCACGAAGGACTCCAGTAGCAGGTTCTAAATCATCTTCGTCCAGACGATCATCTGCAGATTCCTCAAGGGCTTCGTGAAGCTATCAGCGTTCACCTCACAGATCTCAGCGAAAGTCTAGACGCAGCTCATCAGGCCGATCACCAAGATCATATCGTTCGCCTCGCCGTTCACCTCGCCGATCACCTCGCCGATCACCTCATCGATCACCACATCGATCTCCACACAGATCTCCACACAGGTCTTCACAGAGGTCCCAAGTCAGGTCTCCATTATCGTCTCCATGTACAGTGATAGAACCATATATACCACCATCACAAGAGTATCAACCTCTTATGGACGATCCCATTACAGAAGACGATGGAGGCATCATCTTCTCAGACACTGAGATACGATACTGGATGGTAAACAACCTAGACCTTTCTTCACCTTCCAAGAGTAACAACTCGGCGCAGATTTATTTGATGAAGGAGGACGATGCTGATGCCATCACCTTACCACCGATCGACCCGATTGCTGCAGTACCGAAGAATTTGGACTCAGCCTTCCACAAAGCCACTAAAGTCCAAACAGCACATTTACCACTGTTCCATGCTAACAAGTTTTCAACCCACAACATGGAACCGTTCCTCAAGGCACAAGACATAGACGACAACTACAAGTTGATCAATGATGTCAAGAACAAGAACTACAAGATTGACGATCGCAAGTTGGTTCAGTTAGAAACCATGACTAGGCGAATGTTCTTTGGCCTTAATAGATCTAGAACGATCAATGAGACTCTTATCACCAGATTTCGTGACACGACATCTGAAGATGATAGAATGATTTACTTGGCCCTACTTATGCAGAAGAAGGACCAGCAGTTCCTTACGGATCATCTCACAGCAGTCTCAGCAGCCTTAACCTTAGCCCGTCGTCAAGGCCTCCTCGCTTCCTGCAACTGGGGTGAGCAGTTTACAGCTCCACTCTATACAGCCCCGTGGTCTGCTCCATCCATCTTCGATGGAGGAATAGAGAAAGTCTCCAAGGAAGTCACTAAGGATTCTAGAGAAGTCCTTATGATTAAGTCAATGGATACGCTAGCCAGCGTCATCAGACAGACTTCACAAAGATATTCAGGGAAATCTAAATTCACTGGATTACAGAGAGCACGGGATAAAAAGATAGCCAGTTCCAGGGGAAGAGATTCTTTTCGTCGCCCATTTGGCAACTACAGAGGAGGATCAGGAAGAGGCAGGGCACCCAGAGGTTCCCGCAACTATAAACGCTGAAAGTCAGGTTCGGAACGACTGGAGTCTTCCACCCCCAGCCGTTCCAGTACAACCGTCACAAGTGGGTGGACGCCTTCAACTATACTGGGAGAACTGGGGAATGTTACAAGACCCATATGTCTCCAACATTCTTCATCACGGATATCGTATCCAACTAAAGGCCACGCCTCCGCTGACAGTCAACCCTTACAAGTTCGACTTCCAGACACAACAACTACCAAAGTTAAGAGAGGCCATTACTTCCCTCCTGAACAAGCAGGCCATAGAAGTACTAGATCATGTAAACATCGAACCAGGTTTCTACTCCCCAGTTTTCCTAGTACCCAAGAAAAACTCCCAGGAGAAATACAGACTCATCTACAACATGAGCATGTTCAACAGAGATTATCTACGCAAACCACCGAAGTTTCACATGATACATCTACCCCAGTTACGGCACTTAATCCGTCCCATGGATTACATGGCCAGTATAGACCTACAAGATGCGTATCTACACATCCCGATACATCCCAAATCCAAGAAATACCTACGATTTACACTGGACGGGCTGCATTACCAATGGAAAGTACTCCCATTCGGAATATCATCAGCCCCATGGTTATTTACAAGAGTAACGAAACCCATCGTCACCTACCTACATCGTCAAGGGCTACGCGGTGCGTTTTACCTCGACGACGGGATACAAGTAGATCAAGATCCACAGCGTCTCAAACTACAGTTAAACTACATCATCAAGCTACTAACACAGCTGGGATGGTTAGTAAATCTACTCAAGTCGGACCTAGTACCTTCGCAAGATCTGCAGTTTCAAGGCATTCGATTTATCACGACGCTCAACCGTATCGTCGTTCCAGAAGACCGCTGGCTCAAGATCCAACAGACCATTCCACCAGCGCTACTCTCTCCGTTACCACTACGACAATGGCAGAGTCTATTGGGTCTCCTCACGTCAGCCCAAGACTTGACACTAAGAGGCAGGCTACAGTTACGCCCATTACAGGTCTTCATCAACGCTCATCTCGACGATCTACAACCATTCAGTCTACCGGTACACCTCAGACCTCATCTACTATGGTGGACCAGAAGGTCGAATGTCTGCGAAGGCATCTATTTAACAGAGCCGGAATTCCAAACCCATCTCTATGTAGACGCATCGCTCCAACTGGACGACATCAGGCATATGGAATCAGCAAGAGCAAGCTCCATATAAACATGTTAGAGATGAAAGCGGTAATCAACGCCATACGTCATTGGAGTACCATTCTACGACAGGCACATCTGATGATTCATACCGACAACTCAACAGTGGCGTATTATGTGAACAAACAAGGCTTAACGAGATCATCAAGCCTATTGACTGTATGCTTTCAACTGTTCGATCTAATCAACGATCACAACCTACATGTCAGAGCATGTCACATTCCCGGAGTCAAGAATGTACTAGCAGACGCACTCTCTCGGCCACGCCTACCGGCACCGACAGTATGGATCTTCGCACAGATTATCAAACATTTAGGAGCGCCGCTAGTAGACCTATTCGCCACTCGATTCAACAATCAGAAAGTGAAATTCTGCGCGCCAGCGTGGGATCTAAATATAGTGCTTCAACACCTCACAAGTGAAAGTTATGAACCGTTAGATTCAACGAACTTTGAACTTCTCACACAGAAAACGGTTTTCCTGTTATCGCTAGCTACGGCAGCCAGGATGTCTGAAATTCACGCACTAGATTACGAGAGGATTCAGTTTGATGACAATCACAACACAGTGCACATGGGTTTGCGATGGGACTTTATCGCTAAGAATCAATTGCCAGGTCAACCAGACAGATTATTCCATATCCCTGCACTATCCTCGATTCTCGGATCTCAAGATACGTTGGACTTATCTCTATGCCCAGTCAGAGCTCTCAAAATCTATATACGACGTTCCAAACCAAGACGCCGACATCTCAAGCGATTATTCATCCCTTTAGCGGCGACAAGTCAGACTGAGGTCTCTCGTACCACCATACCTATATGGATTAGAACTGTCATACTGCGCGCCTACAAGGCGGCTGGACTGGACCCTCCAAGAGCAGCAAATCCTCACGAAATCAGAGCCTTAGCTTCCACGCTCGCGCTACACGGTAACTGCTCACTAAATACCATCATGGAGGGATGTTTTTGGAAATCCGACATGGTGTTTGCTAATCACTATCTGAGAGATATCACCACCGAGGACGTCTCAGGTATTCACCATTTTGGTCCTATGGTCTTCGCACAGCAGTTGACAGTCCCTCGTAGACGATAAGATAGTCTTACGAGATTATTATGTATATTTATACATGTTTTATCTAGCTTAAAACTCTACGGAGTTGTTAGGGCTATTGATATACCTAGCTTAAGTCTAACCTTAAGCCCTGTACTGATATTTATGTACATTTTTGGATAACTTCTCCATGTTGGAGTAGTATATATACTTATTGCTATGTTCATAGTATGTTTTTTGTATAGTAATACCCCTTTTTTATCTATGGCAGTGTATAAAATTATAGTTATAATAGCAAAGGATTACAATCAGTGCCATTATAAGTTCCCGTCAGGGGGTTATTACAGATATATAAACTCTGTCAAAAAAGAAACGCAACCCCTGTCCTCAGATATGAAAAATTCGTTTGAATGAAGTTATTGCTTCCAAACTAAATTTTATTCGAATGTATTGAAATGATACACGTAATTAATGAAGATTACCATCCAAACAACTGCATTTGTACGCATAAGTGTATTTTATTGCTTATTCCGTCACAACGCATGAAATGACCCTCATGGTGACTTCGCACAAAAAAAACACATGCAAATCATGAAAATGGCAGTTAATGTAGGGGTGTATAAAAGCCCATGTGCTTCCGTATTATATTCATTCATTTGTCGCCGAAAAGCTGTGTTAAAAATGCCACGATTGAGTGCTGCCGACCGAAATATCGCCATTGGTCGTGTTCAAGCCGGAGAAAGTTTTGGAACTGTTGCACGGCACCTAAATGTTCACAAAACAACGATATCCCGACTTTGGAGCCGCTACAACAACTTCAATTTGACCAACGATCGCCCGAGAAGTGGAAGGCCAAGAATCACGACCCCCCTTCAAGATCGGTACATCCGGGTCCATCACCTGCGTAATCGGCATGCCCTACCAACCGTGACTGCCACACAAATACCAGGTTTGAGGAGAGTGTCAGCTCAAACGATTAGGAACCGTCTGAAAGAAGCGGGTTTACGTGCCTGTAGACCAGTTGTTGGACCTGTACTACGCCCCCTACATCGACGCCGACGACTCAGGTGGTGCAACAACGTAAGGATACGGACTTTACAAAACTGGAGGCGAATCTGGTTTTCTGATGAATCACGTTTTCTTTTGCAACGTCACGACGGAAGACAGCGTCTGTATAGGAGACGTCATAAACGTTTTGCGCCCATCTGCGTCCGACAGGTGGACAGATTTGGCGGAGAAAGCGTCATGGTTTGGGGAACCATCTCATACAACCAGAAATCAGACTTGGTGATCGTTTCAGGGAACCTGACAGCCCAACGTTACATCAACCACGTGTTAGAGCTTCACCTTCTCCCGATTATTGACCAACAGACACAGATTTTTCAACGGGACAACGCCCGGCCTCATACTGCACGTGCAACAATGAACTTTCTGCAGAATTCCAACGTCAATGTCTTGCCATGACCCTCTAAATCACCAGACCTCAACCCTATTGAACACCTGTGGGATACTCTGGATCGACGCGTACGTCAACGTCAGCCGCCGCCACAGACGCTGCAACAGCTCGCCGTTGCACTGCAGGAGGAGTGGAGAGCCATTCCCCAGGAAAGAATCCGGCGTCTTATCCGTTCTTGTCCAAGGAGATGCCGTGCAGTGACTGCAGCGCGTGGTGCTCATACGAGATACTGAGAAAGACGCCCCCCTGGTGACAAACTGGTGTCTGTGAGATGACTTTTGAAATGACAATTTTAAACATGCCCATCTGGGTTATTATTCTGCCAAATTTCAGACTTCTGTCTTAAATAATAAAAATGCCGTGTCGTCCTAAAACTTCAGATCAAAATCTCTAAAATACAGGGGTTGCGTTTCTTTTTTGACAGAGTTTATATATAAATCACTAATTAATCTGGTAAATCCAAAGTCTCTACTCTTTCCCACCTCCGATTCCGTCGGATACTGCAAGCAAAAGAGCATGAGTCAGGATAAGGAAAAATATGTAATTTTTAGAGTAAAATTGATATTTTATACTTATCCTGACTCATGAGGTAAGCCCTCCCATCCTCCCCACATAACACTTTGGATTTCCCCGTAAATTCAAGTGTTGGGCTCGAAAAATAAGGAGAGAGTGAAGCATGTGGCCAGAGGGTGGCGCCACCTTTCCCGCGCTGGGACAAAGGGAGGCAAGTCATGGTGAGTATTAATTAGTGATTATACATTGAAGGGAGCTTCAATTAGGAGATACAAGTGTTTCCACTATGTTCGCAAGAAGAAGAAGACAAGCAAAAGAGCATGAGTCAGGATAAGTATAAAATATCAATTTTACTCTAAAAATTACATGTTCAATTTGAAACTTGATACAGTCACGATATGGCTGAAATACTGACGATGTGACTTAAAATCTTCACTCACTCACTCACTCTCACTTGTATACACTTGCTCATTAGTTTTAGAACATGCATGGAACGAAAGAACGAAAGTTTTCTTCCAAATATCCGGTGTACTCGTGTCGGTGAACTCGCTTTTTAGTGAAAGTCGCTTCCCGATAGTGATGTCATGTGTATGAATGAAAATATGCATGATCAATCGGCCTGCTGCTTATAATTTCAGTTCTAATGCTTCTTTCGTATTTTACACACTTTTTTCATGTGATTATTTTCAGTATTAATATATTTTGCTTTGGGACTAGACAGGAAACCAGTCAAAGTCAATTGGCACTAATTACGTCATAATCAATGGGGGGATAACTCTGACCTGTTCAGTGCGGCAAACAAAGGTCTCATAATGGCATAACATTTAAGCACTTACGTTGAGGGTTATACCTTCATTGTAAACCAATGAGTGTATATTTTCAAGTAGATCTATTGATATTAACTAATTCAAAATTCCATTTTGTTTCACAGAAGGGAAAAATGTGATTTTTTCGTGTACACTTTCCCTTTAAGAAAATTCTGAAAGAAATTCTCAGTATCTTCTACACTTAGGAGTAACTCTTTATTCTGTGAAGTTTTTGAAATACGACCCCTGGTCTCTTGCACCCTCAAACTGGACACTCGGAGTATCTGTGTTGAACATTTAGTAGTAATACAGGCCAATGTTACTCAGGATTAAAATATGATGCGTCTCTTTGTAGGTGAGGAGGCAACACATGGAGAGGAGTATTGCGTTTTTAGTGGACGAGCTAAAGGTGGTTGACAAGAAGACAGCCGAGGACCGAGTGTTCTTTGTGTCAGCTCGTGAGGCCCTGGTTTCCAGGCTGCAGCAGGACAAAGAAACGCCTGTCCCCAGTAAGCTGTTGTCATTTTCACAGTAGACACTACACTGACATCCTGTTAATACATAAACCTGTTTTCTACACTTACTGACTGGATCTGAACCAGTATAACAGGGTTTCTTTGGATTTATCTCGTGAACTTAATTCCAAATTAAAGTCTTGTTAAGAAGGGCTGATAATTACCCTCAGACTCACTCTGAACTGTAATCATAAGATATGCTGCTCAAACAGCTATCAAGTCAGAATACACCCAAGAGCCAGAGATATTCTGTGCACAGATAGTGATAAAAAAATAGAGAGGGGCTGTCACTTCAAACAGTTGATGGCAGTTGAGTACAGGGTTTTTTATCCCCCGCAATGCGTTTTCCATGGCAACAAGTTCAACTTCGACTGAAATTGGTGGTTGTGCTCTTTTCCGGAGCAGAACTCTAAAAGCGTTCAATGATTCTTCACCAAACTTGGCACATAGATAGATCTGGTGGTGAACAGGTGCCTTTTGGTAGTTTTGGATTTCTGAATAAAATATTTGCATTTCCGTGGCCATAAGTTCGATTTAGACTGACATTGGTGGCTGTGATCTTTTCCGGAGCAGAACTCTAAAACCGTTCAATGTTTCTTCACCAAACTTGGCACATAGATAGACCTTGTGGTGAATTGGTGCCTTTTGGTAGTTTTGGCTTTCTGAATAAATATTTTTGTGTTTTCATGGCAACAAGTTTGACTTAGACTGAAATTGGTGGTAGTGCTCTTTTCCGGAGCAGAGCTTAAAAACTGTTCACTGTTTCGTCAAGAAATTTCATACAAAGGTAGGTCTAGTGGTGAACTGGTGCCTTTTGGTAGTTTTGGACTTCTGAATAAAATGTTTTTGGTGTTTTTTTGTGTGTTTCCATGGCAACAATTTTGGCTTCAACTGAATTTGGTGTTAGTGCTCCTTTCTGGACCAGAACTTTGAAACCTTTCAGTAATCTCCTTCCACTTAGCTATATACACGCCAAAACATTTGACATAATCATAACTTGTAGACATATTCATAAAGAGTATTTTGCCATTGCGGGGGATATTGATGACTTTGTCTTCTTGTTATCCTTATATATCCGGCATTGTCTTGGGGCTCTGTAATATGTAGCTAATAATTGCGTAAATATGATCTGAAAATCTGAAAAATGGGGTATTTCAGCTGCTCAGTATTCATGTGAGAGATGAATGTTTGTGGCAGTGTTGCTATGCGCAAATCGGCTTGGTTGTGAAGTAATTATTGTAAGATAATAATGATGAAACACAGGCAAACTGTAGCGCAAATAGGATTCCGCAACAGAGAGAAGAAATGAACAGTCTTCGTTTATGCTTCACTCGCATATAGGAAGATAGGTAATTTTTGTTGTGCAACCCCATTTCCTCTACAGTTTTCCTGTGGATCAAATTACATGCACACCTGAAGGTAACAGCGATATATTCGTCATGATGTTTGACGTCAGTTTTGAATGAGTGAGTGAGTTAAGATTTAAAGTCACATCAGCAATATTTCAGCCATATCGTGACTAAAACAATGTTCTAAATACATAATAGGTGGTGGGGTAGCCTAATGGTGAACGCGTTTGCTCGTCATGCCGAAGATCCGGGTCCAAATCCCCACATGGGTACAATGTGTGAAGCCCATTTCTAGTGTTTCGCGCCGTGATATTGCTGGAATATTGCTAAAAGCGGCGTAAAACCACACTCACTCACTCTAAATTCATAATAAATACATATAATATATAACACCTGTCAAGAAGGACAGATTAATTACTTGATTTTCACAATAAACTAACCAGAATATATTTATTAGTAGAAAACGTTTTTGGACAATACAATGAAATATGAACAACTAAGGTCAATGGGGACTTACAGTGCCTTTGCTACTTGCATGCACCCTAGCTGGATTTACACCATCCCTTCAGCCATTGACGATTATGCTTAAATTTAGCCACAAATTAAAATGACAATATTCTACGATTAAAAAATGTGGTGATCACGGGTGTAGGTTCTAATGCTAGCTTTGTAATCGGAGTATGGGATGAAAATTGGTGTCACAGATTTGTTGCGTGCTGCCTTAGCAGCAAGATCAGCCATTGTGTTCCCAGAAATGCCAACATGGCTGGGTAACCAACAAAAGACGATGTCGCGTTGGCCAGTAGCAAGCTCATTATACAATTCAACAATTTCAATTAAAAGTGGATGTTTACAGGAAAGGTTTTAAATGGCCTAAAGGCACGAAAGAGAATTGGAAAAGATGATGCATTGTTTATATTTACAATGTTTATTAATATATTTAAGAGCTGTTAGTATGGCATTTGCTTCTGCTGTGAAAATAGAGCTATTATTTGGTAGTCAAGAAGATATTGTGCTGGATCCAATGACAGTGGCACATGCAAAAGCGCCACCATCCTTGGACCCATCTGTAAATAAGGATTTGTATGTATTATATTTAGTTTTTGAATTGATCAAATCCCATAGAACATGTTTGGGGTGAGATTGGCTGCAATATTACCAGATGTAACAGTCCTGTTGACAACTTGAATCAGCTGAGAAACGCCATAGTCCATGAATGGAACAATTTGCCAATGCAATTTCTTAAAAAGTTGGTTCGGTCAATGTCCAATAGGTGTGCATCTGTCATCAAACACAGAGGAGGATACACTGAATACTGATTACTTCCTGTACACAAAAACAGTGCTAGAGACATTCACCTGTTTGTTTCTAGCACCATTTCTTTTTATTCCTTTCGAACGTAAATATTTCCTTCACATCAATTCACATCGAACTTGTAAAGTGATGAAATTGGTTATTTTTCACTTACTGTTTGTTTTGCTCTCAATAAACACCACCACGCTAGTTAGTTTTGTCTTTTGTCTCATACTTCAGTTTCCTTAACATTTCCTTCGTACAAGATACAAAACCAAGCATGCAAAAGTCTCCATCCAGTTACATTAAATCCTATATATATCCCATCATTTATCAAAAATAGCTTAAATTTTTACCATCAGTATATATGCATAAATCATTATCCGAGCAGAACTCTTCCAATAGTTTACCTTTAGCATTAGTAGTTGTAGCACCCCATTTAAATTCCCCATAATAATACAAGGTTTTGGTAGTTGGTCATATAGAGTTTGAAGGGTTGAAGACGGTGAGAAATACTAAGAGCATAATGTAAATGCAACGTGTAATGTAAGTGTAATGCAACTGCTAGGAGATTAGTAGTAAGAGAAATAGGGCTATGGACAACATTTTGTTTGACTAGGATTGAAAATCCTCCAGTGGCCCTATCACCCGGAGCTGTTAAATAATTATATGCATTAACATGACGCAGATCAAAGGCATCTGTCTGTTTATAAGGTTTCTTGCACACAGAATGCTGATGGCGTGGACTAATAGCTGTAAATCATTGTAATTATTCCTGTCCTCTGCAATTCCACTGTACAATACTATTGGATTAAAACTATCTTTTCGACGGATTTGTTGGCGATCAACTCGACAAGCTTTGTGCCCTGAAGTGGACGTTTTCGGACACGTTAAGGTGATCCGTATTTGTTAAATGACTGAATTCTGTTTTCAGACCCTTTGGGGGCTTTTTTTTAAAGAATTAGGCTTTGGTTTATTTGTGTTTTTAACAGTTTGTTGAATAGTAGATGACGATTGAGATTTTGAACGTGACTGAAAGAATGAGTTTTGAGCAGAAAATAACTCAATGCTTTTGAGACATATCAGGAAGTGAGCTCTTAGTTTGAGAAGACATTGTGTTGGGTATAAAAGCTTTGGAGAATCGTTTTTGGCCTAATTCAGGTTTGTTTGGCAGCTTTTGGACGATCTGGATAATTTAGGGCTTGACTCTTGGTTACTGAAGCATATGTTTCTGTTCAGACCTCTTTCCCAGTTGTTTTGGGTAAACTTTATCTTCTATATTTCCATTTGCTCTTTCCAAATCGGATACTCTTTGGAGAATGATGAATGGTTGCCTGAGCAGTTTGTTTTTGAAAATCACGGTTACAATCTTCTTGTGTGTGTTTTCGTACCACAGTGAGCACACAACAGACAATGTGCAAGTATTTACATCATGTCCATACTGTTGACATTCAAAGCACCTGAGCAGCACCAAGGATACCCGGAAGACATATTCAAGCAGAATAATAAAAAAATAATTATTCTACCGGATTAGCCCATGAGCTACTGCCTTTTTGGACACAGGCCTCATAGGGCATCATAAATTATTAAATTGGAAGTATACAATCTAAGTGTAAATATATGTTCAAGCATATTTGAAATGTACTACCCATCAAAAGTTTAGACTTACTTAAAGCACTCACTATATGTTATGTATGTGTGTGTGGGTGTGTGTCCGTGCGTGCGTGTGTGTGTATGGTTACATCCAAGATGAATTTCTCCACTAACATCGGGGAACCAACTGTAAACCTTCAGCAGACGAATTGCACGAGGGAAATGCATTAAATTACTGAAAGGTATGTGCAAATATCGTGCACGTGAACAGCTGTGTTTTGGTGTAAATTTTGTTAAGAATTCGCCAATTTTCACTGACTTTCATCATTTACAGTGACGTCCGGTAATTCTGCGCACCTAAGCACATCGATCGCATCACGGCAACTAATGTCTCTTATTTATTGTGGTTTACGTGACTAAACATGCTGGTGTGCATCATATTTACCGAGAAATATTTATAAGTTTTATTGAAGACTATAAGCTTCTAACGTTGCATTATACCATACGGTTGACCTTACTGGCGTTCTGACGACATCGCTTGCTGTCCGGTAATTCTGCACAGCAACTGATGCGCATAACATCCAGCTGGAGATCCGAAGTTTGTAAACGTATTAGGGTCAGATTATTTTCAAAAATCACTTCATCAATGTAATTACCAAATTTGAAAACGAATAATTTGGGCGAAATTGGGCTTCCTTAGATTTTCTGAAACGACAAGGCTTTGCCTAAGATCCAAAAATAGATTGACGTACAAATGGC